AAAGGTCAAAAGGTCAACCAGCCCCCCCACCTTCTTCAAATTAGACAAAATTAGTGTCAAACGTTTCGGCAGCAAAAATTTTCGTTTGTGCCACTTTCATTTTAAAGATATAAAGAGATGTTTCTAGAGGTCATCAAAGGTCAACCAGCCCCCCCACTTTCTTCAAATCTTCAAATCCAAAGCAACACAAACGGAGCTGAGTTAATTGACACCTATTTCGTCTGATTTGAAGAAGGTGGGGGGGCTGGTTGACCTTTGATGACCTCTAGAAATATTTCTGTATATCTTTTAAACGATAGCGGCACAAACGAACATTTTTGCTGCACAAATGTTTGACACCAATATTGTCTAATTTGAATAAGGTGGGGGGGCTGGTTGACGTTTTGACCTTTACATTTTCATTAATATCTTCAAATCAAAAGCAGCACAAACGACAATTTTTGCTGCACAAACGGAGCACAAACGTTTGACACAAATTTTGTCTGATTTGAAGAAGGTGGGGGGGGCAAGTTCACTCAGGTCAGACACCTAGAAATATTTCTTTATATCTTTAAAACGAAACAAGCGAAAATTTTTGCTGCACAAATGTAGCACAAACGTTTAACACTAATTTTGTCTGATTTGAAGACGGTGGGGGGGCCAACTTCTATCTTCTTTCAGCCACCCCTCAGTGTTCCTTGGTTGTTGCCTGGACACCATTATAAAAATGTTCTGGCTCCGCCTCTGCTTGTTCCTCCATGATTGTTTCTAGTTTCCTCTTAAATTAATGAATCCTTTCTTTTTTCCTTTTTTCTTTTTATCTTTCTTTTTTCTTTCCTTTTTTTTATTTCTTTTTTTTTCTCCTTTTCTCATTCTTTCTTTCTAACATGGCACGTCTTCTCTTAAGGAAAGCAGGATGTATTGGATATGATAAACATCCCTTTTTGTTACAACAAGGATCCTTGGACTTAACTGGTCTAACTCTATTTTACCAATCAGTATTAATTGCCTGGCAGATTTTCACTTTTGAGAGGACGGCTGATACGTCATGAATAATTGTTTTCCCTCCATTATTGTCTGTTTTTGCAGCATGAGATGAGGAAGAGGTGGTTCAACCTAACGGCTCAGGAGATCCAGCCCTTGTATTACGAAATGAAACTAGGGGATGAGTGCTGGCTCAGGAGTAGCTGCTGCTCTGAAGATGTGTGGAAAGGAGGCTGCTCACTGCTGCTGGGTGGACTTATGCCTGCAAATCTAAGCAGTCCCATCTGTGCCAAGTAAGCTGCATGTGGGTGTTTGTTTATTTTAGGGGTGTCCATTTCCAGGGACTAATGTCCTGCATGCAGGGCCGGTTCTAGCCCTTTGGTTGCCCTAGGCGAGATTGAGTGTCCCCCCCCCTGACTTTTGTCGTGCGAAATACCAGTACTGTTTTAAGCATC